TGTCTTAAGTTCTTAGTTATTGGGCCTAAACTTGTTTAATGTTTTATTTGTTTTATTTGTCTAGGTGTCCCATCACTAATCAGGGGCATTCTAGTCCATTCATGTAACATTATTTTATAATCATCTATATAAGATTGTAGGGCCGGCTGAAGTGAGTATGCTGCCTTTCTCAAAACTTCTTCTCTTCTTCTTCTTCTTCTTCTTCTTCTTCTTCTTCTTCTTCGGCTGCTGTGTTCCAGCAAATAAAAAATTTCCTTGACTTTTTAGATTTTCCAAATATCTTAGTGAAATTAGCAAAATATCCCCAAAATTTCCCAATCTCTGCATGGTGAAATGTCCATTGATGTCGAGATTGCGAACCATGGTCATCACAGGCTGATCCTAACAGCCTTAAGAAATGCACCTAGAAGCTAGCCCAGAAGTGCAAATGCATAATACATTTCTCCCCTTCCTGCTCCCCTAGCGAAATAGTCATCTAATTAGGGTAATTGTTGGATCCGTTAGCATGATGTGTGATGTCTAGATGCCAATTATTTGCTTCCAGTTGGTCATTTTATTTTCCTTTTCTATCTATTTTTCCTTTCTTTGCTATTATCTCTAGAATTAGGTTGCTTTAGGTCCTAGAGCTTAATGAACAAGCACCTTGTTTTCATACATCTATTGTGTTAACCTCTAGGAATGACCAAACATTCTAGTCCCTGGTCTGGGGACACAGGACCATAGATGGTTATGGGGACCCTTTAACCTGGTACCTGTCCCACATTTCAGGTGTCATGACCCACTATTGAATGGATTCCAACAAAACATTGTCATTCATAAAACTTGCCCAGCTGATCTACTAGTTATGACCATGTAACTATGGGTTCAGATTACAAAGAATGGGACAGGTTTATCGCAAAAACATTTGCTTGCACCTTGCATACTATCATTTAATCTTTAATACTCTAGTATTGTACTGTTGAATAATATTTTTGGTGGCAAAATATGTCTTTCATGTTGCACATTAATCCATATCCTCATATATGCTTCATGTTTTTTTTTGTTACTGATTGCTGCATATAAACTTTCAGGGAATTAAGAGTGATGTTAGAACAAGTTCTGGTATGTTTTTGAGTCCTGAGGAGAAGAAGTATCCAATCATACAGGTTTATTTTATTGTTAACTTACTTGTTTCTCCTCTTTCTTTGCTAGGGAAGAAATTTATTTCACATTAAGAAAGCTTTCTAGGTTTGGCTATTTATCATTGATTACATATATTCAACTATCATACTATTCATCTTGAATATTTCAATTATGCGATTACCTATCTATCTATATTGGGAAAATCCATGCTGCTGGAAAAGGTCTTTGACAAATCAAACATCCCCTGTAAAACCATGGGTTGATTCTTATTTTCTCTTTATTTCTCCATTTGTAGTACCATTGTATTGCATATCAGATGTACTATATCACAGCTTTTATAGTTTTCTTTTTTCACAGATTGTATTGTATATCCTCTTTCTTTGCTAGGGTTCAATGGTCCTTTCTCACATTTTTTACATCACTAATATATAAGCTATTCTTTTGGGCATGTAAACCTAATACACTTTAATCAAAATGTGATTTCCTTGCTCTGTTACTGTTATCATGGTATCAAAGCAGACACTCTTGGCCTGTTTCTAATTGAAGGTTTTGTACCTTGAGTAGATCAATCATTTAAGATGATTTTAGTCTTACATTTTACACCTATTTGGAGCTGCTTTGAAGGATTCTGAAGATTTTTTTCTTTGTACCTTGAGTAGATCAACCTGCACATGATATGCCAGCTAGGGGACAAAAGCCAATAGGGTCTTTTTCTTTGTAACAAGTCGCAACTATTGATGCTTCCATGGAAAACTTCCCAACAAAAAGCACTAATTTTTTGGGGAATAGAGAACACTAAACTTCCTTAACAGGAAATGACTAAGAAGAAAGAGCCATGAGAATTAAAGGACTTAGAAGAAAAACTACCAATAAGATTAGGAGGCCACTCCTGGCCATCTCAATTGATTTATCGAGTACCACCCCGTCCAAAAGTTTTAGAAGGTTAGACACAAGGAAAATATCAGAATCTCTAAGATTCCTCCTTAATCCTAGGTTCCAAGTCAGCCCAGATGAAGAAGCAGAAGAGTTGATAAAATCAAAGACATGTCTTCTTTTGAAGTTGGAAAGAGCATATGGTGTAGGAAACAAGTCTTTTCTAAGGAGACTCCCCGAGCCAAATATCTTCCCAAAATTTAACCTTATTACTAGAGGACAAGTCATACCTTATATGATAGAGAAAAACCGAAAGGACCATGTTTTGCTATATGCAACAGACCAACATCCCAATCATTTTGTAAGAGCCCATGAATGCTACTTACAACCTTATGTTGAAGCTTTTGTTCCCAAATCACTCTCCTACCTTCTCCTCACCTTTTCCCCTTTCACCAAATGAAACTTCTTCTTCTACCCTCCTTCCACAAAAAATCCCACATTATCTTATCACAATCAATTGAGGCATCCTAAACACCGACATGTAATAAATTGGAAGATTTGCTAAAGTGGACATAATTAGGGTTAACTTGCCTCCCAAAGAAATGTAGTTTCTCTTCTAAATAGCTAAACTCCTCTCTATCTTTTCTACCACTGTAGTCCAAAAGCTAGTTGATCTAGGATTAGCACATAATGGTAAACCTAGATACTTTAAAGGCCAATCCCCACACTCACAACCTAAGTCTCCAAAAAGAGCTCAAAACTTCTTGATCTAGATTTATTCCTACTACTAGATTATTCACCAAATTAACCTTTAAATTAGACAGTCTTTCAAACAATCTCACTAATAGCTTCAAGTTGTCAAACCATTGACTTTGCTTCTCTTCACAAAAAAAAAAAAAAATTCATAATGTCATTTCTTTGTAAATGAATTACCAAAACCCTATTTCTCCCTACAGTTATGGGTGCACACGGTTCGGTTAACTGAACCGTGGGCCTATTTTCCAAACCAAATCAGTACCACTAGATTTTGGATAACTGTGAACTGAAACTGAATAAAAACAATTGCTTAGCTAGTTGATCAATTTGGTTTTTGATCAGTTCAGTTCTTCAGTTCTTCAGTTTTTCGATGTTTTTGATATTTATAATATATATTATAAATACTAAAAATACATATAAGATAATATTATTATAAATTATATATTATAAATATATTTGTATATATAATGCATATATATTTATTTATAATATATATATATATATATATATTTTGGTTCACCGTTGGGTTTTCATATTGGTTGACTAAAACTGAATCGACTGGTTTGACTGATCAGAATTTTTGGTTTGGTTTGGTTTCGGTTTTTAGTTTTTGATGAGCACCCCTACCTACAGTCCAACCCTTGAACAAATAATCTTTTAGCTCTTGATATCAGTCTACTCATTACATCCATATCCAAGGTAAAGAGAAAAGGAGAGAGCCATAGTTTTCAAGGTGTCTAGGCAATTCTGGGCGACATTGGGGCACCTAGTCGCTTAATCACCTAGGTGATACAAATTTTATAATATAAATAACCAACTTTTGGCTAGATCCCTAATTTTATATACCATTTAGCGTGTATATTAATTGAAAAATAGCAATCTTTATTATGAACATTAAATTTCCTCTAAAAGTGTGGCAAATCATAAAATGTAAATGATAAAAATCTTTTACATATACTAATTTCATTATTTTCAAAAGTAATACTACTATAATAAGTATTTAATAGAGCAATTTTCATATCAATTAGCAGGTAAAGAAGGTTATTAACTTTATATCATAAATATTCAAGATGGGAAGTAAAATAGAAATAACAAGGATGGCGTTTTTGTTTTGTTTAATTAGAGAGAGTAAATGTATTAACACACATTAATAAGATACAACAATATAAATGATATTATATAAGGCACCCCACCTTGTCATTTTTGTCACCTAGGTGGACGCTTAGTCGCCTAGGTGGGCACCTAGTTGCCTTGGTGGGCGCCTAGTCATCTAGAAGGGTGCGTAGTTGCTATAAGTCAAGGTGTTTGGGCGAGGTGCCCAGTCAAGGGTGACTAGTTGCCTAAGTGATGTCTTGACAACTATTGAGTGTGCAGATCACCTTACCTAAGGCCCCATGTTGCCCCAAAGAATCCTTCACAGCTCTAACAATTATTGAGAAAGTTCAGGCCCTTAAGTGTCAAGACACCCAAAGAATAGGTAGTTCCTTGTAATTTTCCCTTAAATAGGTTGGAGACTATTGATTTACCTGATGGTAAGGAACTAATTGGTTGTAGGTGGGTGTGTAAATAAAGTATCATTTAGACAGGACTATTAAACAATATAAGGCTAGACTTATGTATTGATTACTTGGAGACCTTCGCACCAATAGCCAAGATGAATTCAGTGCATATTCTCTTATCCTTAGTTGCCACGTTTTCAAGTTCCTTACATCTGTTTGATGTGAATAATGCCTTTTTAATGGGGACCTTCATGAAAAAGTTTATGTATCTCATCCTTCCAGTATGTATGGTAAGGAGATATAGGGCAAGGTATGTAGGCTACAGAAATCGTTGTAGGAGCTCTATCAATCTCCAAGAATTTGGTTTGAGAGATTCTATAATGTTTGGTTGGAGTTGGTTATGTAAAACCCAGTCAAATTACACTCTTTTTATGAATAGGAGAGATACTTTTGTGACTACTCTTATCATTTATGTTGAGGATATAGTTGTTAACATGGATGATGTGCAGGAAATTGGGAAACTATTCTAAAGTCTCAAGATTGAATATTATCTTGAGAGAGGGATTGGAGACAGCTACAATCTCTTTTCTTCTACTTCCAGCTTAAGATCTTGATTAAATAGCAATGTTTATTGCTGTTTTATTTTACTACTAGCCTAGTTGATATTTCAATTGAAATTAACATATAGAGGCATGCATGCAGTCAAAATTGTGTACTCTGGATGTCTTGGGCTGTATTTTTACTTCCTACCTTTTTATTACCTATTCATCTGCATATCAAGCATACTTTCCTTTTAAATCCATGTTAAGGATTTAACCATAGGTCTATATACATCTTTTCTATGATTGGCTATTGAATTTGAGGTGTGTCATGCGTGAATGCTTTATATTTGTAAACAAAAATGGCATGTTAATTAAAATTTCAACTTTCCAACATTCTCCATTTTATTCAGTCTTGATTTTAAGTTGTTGGGGAGCATGGCATTGTTTTTTGAGGTTCTGTTAAGCTATTTAATAGATGACATTATTTAATTAACAGTACTCTGAATGTCTTCTTTTTTGCTTTCCATATGCTTAGGCCATCGAAAAACGAATTTCTGTCTATTCACAAGTACCAATTGAAAATGGAGAACTCATTCAAGTTTTGAGGTGGATTTTTGATCATCTTTTATTGTGAATTACTTCATATGAACATGATGACTAATTTTTTCAATTATCAAGTCTAACGTCTGCAGAAGCACAGGTATGAAAAGAATCAGTTTTACAAGCCACATCATGACTACTTCTCTGATACTGTAAGTCAGGTTCTAGTATCTGCTTAAAGATGTGCAACATTTAAGTTTCATCGTTTGTATCTGTTCCAGTTGAACCTGCTTAAGTCCTTTAATAACATGCATCTAAAAGTATACACATTCTTTCTAATACAGTTTAATGTGAAGCGTGGAGGCCAACGAGTAGCAACGATGCTCATGTATTTGAGTGATAATGTTGAGGGTGGAGAGACATATTTTCCCATGGTGATTATATTTTCAAATTCCATGCTTAACAATTGATGCAGTGACAAAATCATCAACTTGATCGTATTTGCATTATATTAATGGGTCTTATGAAAATCACTAGCTTGACTAGGAATGACTCCCAACATTGCACTATACTTCTTTTCTCAAGGTTTAAAATGCCATAACTAAATCATGAAACTAGGGTTAATAGACAAAATAATACTCTATAAAGTGGTCTTGTAGACTTTAAGAATTAAAACTATAACAAAGTAAGCTCGAGTAAAACTTATACTGATAGAAAGCACAATTAATTCTGATAGATTTTCGAAATAATCTATGACAAAGACAAAAACTATGATTTAACACCACTACAAAAGGAATTTCAAAGTGGACCTTAATCATAAGCTTGGAAGTTGTGAGAGGGACTCCTTCAGATATTCAGTAGTATCAAAGGTTCTTTGGGAGGCTTCTGTACCTCTCTATGACTTGATCAGATATGGCATTTGCAGTTAGTGTTTTAAGTCAAAATATGCATTCACCCAAAATCTCTCATTTTAAGGCTGCAAAGAGAGTTCTTGCTTATTTAAAGAGACACCCTGGTAGGGGGGTCTTCTCTTCACCAAATAAAGTCATATAAAGTGGAGGTTTACATTGATGCTGACTGGGCTAGTTCTTTTGATGATAAAAGGTCCATCAATGGTTATTGTAATTTTGTGGGGAGCAATTTGTTTTCGTGGAAGAGTAAAAAACAAATTGTTGTAGGAAATTCAAGCACAAATGCAGAGTATATAGCCATGTCTTAAGGAGTAGTTGAACTTTTGTGATTAATGAATCTCCTTACAGAGTTGGGAATAACACTCAGATCCAATGTCTTTGTATTGTGACAACAACACGGCCATCAACATTGCTCATGTTCTTTTTTGGGAAAACATTTGGGTGGGCAACCAACCTCTTAAAGACTTGTTTCCCTCTCTCTACTCTCTTTCCCTATATAAGAAAGAGTCGGTTTAAAATTTTATTTCCTTCCCAGCTTCTCCTTTGGACTTAAATTGGGATTTTGGTTGTGTATCAGAACTGTTGTTATCACTTGAGTCTTCTTGTCTGGATCCTCTCAAACCTGACATAAGAACATGAGAACTCAGCATAATACTTGGCTTTATGCTTGTTTTCTTGTACTGCTATAGGTTGTAGGGCAATTTTGTCCTTTTACCTAATGTTATGTTAAACATATAAATAGTATTGCCTTGGGTGGTAGTAAGTGATTTTTGCCCATTCCTCTCTTGTTCTTCTTCTATTCTCTCTTCTCTTCTCTCTTCTTCTTCCTATTGATTTCTGTTTTTCTCTTATACCCAGAAGTTCTGCTAACAACAGTAATTTCAAGTTGCTTTGTTCATAATCTTGGACCAGGAAAGGACAAATTGGATGCACGATCCACTAAGTGTATCTTCCTTGGCTATTCCCAGACCTAGAAAGGGTATAAGTGTTATAACCCTAGTTCTCGACGTTCCTTTGTGTGTGCAGTGTTACTTTCTTTGAGTCTATTCCATTTTTTTCGAGGTCAGGTGATGTCTCTTCTTTCTCACCTCCTCTTCTTCCAGTTGTGACTAAGTCTTTGCCTTTGGTGCAACTTACTGTTGAACGGCCACCCATCTGTCAAGTGTATACGCATCGACAACATGTACTAGCTTCGTCACCGTCAACAGATCCGACAGCTGTTCCCACACCAGCCACAACCCCGGTTTCTGACCTTTATCTTCCTATTGCCTTGCAGAAAGGTAAACGTAGTTGCACACTTCACCCATTTTCTAATTATGTTTCCGTCACTCACCTTTCTACTTCCCATCGCCAGTTTATTTCTCTATTGTCTTCTATTTTTGTTCCTATGGATGTCCAAGGAAGCCCTTGCCTCTCTAGGGTGGCACCATGCAATGGAAGAAGAACTCTCTGCCTTAGCTCATAATCATACGTGGGATCTCACCACACTCCCTCCTGGTAAGTAGGCTATTGGTTGTAAGTGGGTGTCTGTTAAGTATTTACCAGATGGTAGTGTAGAGCGGTTGAAAGCTAGACTGGTTGCCAAAGGGTATTCCCAAACATATGGTATTGACTACACGGAGACCTTCTCTCCTGTTGCTAAAATTGGTTCAGCCCGTGGTGTGATATCTCTAGCTGCTATGTATGACTGGCCTCTATTTCAGCTTGACATCAAGTTGCTATCCTTGAGGAGGTCTATATGGAGAAACCATCGGGGTTTGTTGCTTAGGGGGAGGATGGTAAGGTGTGCAGACTAAAGAAGGCCATTTATGAACTTAAATAGTCTCCCCATGCGTGGTTTGTTAGATTCAGTGAAGTGATAAAAGAAGTTTGGTATGAAACAGTGTCAGGTTGATCACTCAGTATTTGGTCATGATTTGCATGCTGGGAAGATCTTACTGGTGGTATATGTAGATGATATTGTCATTACTGGCAGTGATAGATTGGGGATTGATAGGATGAAGACCTTCCTGTGAGAGCACTTTCAAGTTTCAAACAAAGGACTTTGGTAAATTAAAATACTTCTTGAGGATAGAAGTAGAAAGGCCTAAGCATGGTATTAATTTGAGCCAGAGGAAGTATGTTCTTGATTTGTTGGAAGAAACAGGATTGCTAAGCGCCAAACCAATTGAAACACCTATGGAACCAAATACCAAGTTGAGCAGTGATATGGGTGAGGAGTTTGAAGATCCTGGAAGGTACAAGCAGTTGGTGGGTAAGCTAAACTACCTAACCATTACTCGGCCAGACATTTCATTTGTAGTTAGTGTGGTGAGTCAGTTAAAGTTTATGCAGAAACCTTGGGTTCCACATTGGGATGCAGTTCTAAGGATTGTAAGGTATTTAAAGGGAGCTTTTGGTCGTGGCTTGATATATAAGAGTGGAGTAAATCTTGAAATAGAGGGATACACCGATGTTGATTGGGCTGGTTCTGTATCTGGGTAATCTGGTGACATGGAAAAGTAAGAAGCAGACAGTTGTGGCAAGAAGCAGTGTAGAAGTTGAATATAGAGCCATGGCACATACCACTTGTGAGTTAGTGTGGCTGAGAAATCTTCTACAGGAGATGGGATATTCGATTGACACTCCAATGAAGCTTTATTGTGACAAGCAAGCTGCAGTCTACATTCTCTTCTAATCCAGTGTTTCATGAGAGAACAAAGCATATAGAAGTTGACAATTACTTTGTGAGAGAGAAGGTGCTTATGGAGTGATAGATACTGCATATGTTAACACAGGGAGTCAATGGGCAGACCGGTTCACCCAAGGGTTTAGTTGGGGAGGAGTGGACTACATATGTAACAAGCTGGGACTATATGATATATACTCACCAGCTTGAGGGGGAGTGTTAGTGTTGACTGTATAGGGGTAATTTAGTCTTTCTATTTATGTTTAGTGATGTGTCCCATACTTAAGTAGGGACATAATAGTCCCCTCCAGATGATCTTGATCTTTCCTTTGCAGATTGCAATGGGAAGAGCAAGATCATTCGGAGGGGGTAGAGGATCAATGATGAGGGTGATGTATCAACAAGCAAGGAGGGAGAAAGTACCTGAATATGGAACTACAGAGGAGAGAGGAACTGGCTTGGACTGGTTATGAGCACCAAAATCAACCTGCCTCCACATCCTGCGGTAAACTCTCAACTCCCTACACCTTTGACAAGAACCCTCATTACACAACTCTCCTTCAAGAATAGGAATAGGTAGAGGAAATTCAGGACAAGGACTATTCTTCTCATTATTCTCCCCCTAAGAAGAAACACCTAGGTTATAAGGGGCATCCTCAAAAAAGGTAACATCCATGAACACAAAACGAGAGCCAGAACTAAGATCATAGCAGCAATATCCCTATTGATTTTGTGCATAACCAAGGAATATACATTTAGCAGCTTTAGGATCAAACTTAGAATGATGGGGTTCTAGGATTTGAACAAAACAAGTGCACCCAAAAACTTTAAGAGGGATGATGTACAAATCTTTCTTAGGATGCAATAACAAAAAAGGAGTTTTCATATCTAGAACACGGATAGGGATTCGGTTGATGAGGTACACAGCTGTATTAATAGCATCCCCCCAAAAATGAATGGGAACATGAGAATTCAACATAATACTTCTTGCAACTTCCAGGATATGCCTATTTTTTTCTCTTGGCTACCCCATTTTGCTAAGGTGTATGGGGACAAGTACTCTGATGAACAATCCCATACTCAAGAAAATATGAATTCAGATGTTTAGTGAAATATTTTTTGGCATTATCAGATTTGAAAATTTTGATTCTAACATCAAATTGAGTGAGAACCATTTGATGAAAAGCACAGGTTAAGGTGGGAACCTCATCTCGAGAACGCATAAGATAAACCCATGAGAAATGAGAGTAATTATCAACAAACAATAGGAAGTACTTGTACCCCCATAGCAGGAATATGATATGGCCCCCCATACATCAGTATACACAATTTCAAAAGGAGTGTTGCTTCTTTTATTACTAAAAAAATAGGAGGTTCTACAATGTTTTGCAAGTTCACAACTCTCACACTTTAAAAAAGACATTTGAATTGACTTAAACAAAGTAGGAAACAAGTTTCTTAAAGACCCAAAAGACAAATGATCTAAACGATTATGCCAAAGCATAATCTGATTCACAGACTGAGAAACAAAAGACTTCGCAACTCCTTTATCACTTCTAGGTGGGTGCTCAAACAAGTAGATTCCATTCATCTCATGGCCAGTCCCAATCACCTTCCTTGTCACCAGATCCTGGAAAATACAATGGTCATGAAAGAAGGTTATTGAGCAATTTTGGCTTTTTGTAAGGCTACTGACTGAAATGGGAACAAGGTAATGGCATCAGAGATTTTGATGTTTCCCTTTTAGAAATGGGAACAAGGGAGCCATCAACTATGGATACTTTATCTCTGCCTAAAGACAAGTTGTATGAAGTAAATAATGAAGACAAGCTTGTCATGTGATCTGATGCACCAG